GCATGACTTCATCATTCCCCACCTTGGCAGATGACCTATCTGCCCCAGCCATGGGGCAATTGCCGGGCAGAGAGTGAGCTCAAGGATCCTGAGCTTCAGGGCTACTCGGCCTACAGTGTGTCTGCCTGCCGTCTGCGCTGTGAAAAAGAGGCCGTGCTTCAGCGCTGCCACTGCCGGATGGTGCACATGCCAGGTGGGTACCCCAGCCCCAGCCAGCCCTCTGTGCCACCCTGCTGGGCTCCAGAACCTCCAGGGCAGAGCTCTGCTCATGTGCACAGGCAGGTGCATATCTACAATGTGTGTGTGTTTATCCCCGTGTAAGTGTGCATGAAGATGTATTTGGGACTTTATGCATGTTTTTACAATATGCATATGAGAATGCATGCATGTATATGCTTGTGTATATGCATGTATATGCATGTTTTTACAATATGCATATGAGAATGCATGCATGTATATGCTTGTGTATATGCATGTATATGCATGTTTTTACAATATGCATATGAGAATGCATGCATGTATATGCTTGTGTATATGCATGTATATGCATGTTTTTACAATATGCATATGAGAATGCATGCATGTATATGCTTGTGTATATGCATGTATATGCATGTTTTTACAATATGCATATGAGAATGCATGCATGTATATGCTTGTGTATATGCATGTATATGCATGTTTTTACAATATGCATATGAGAATGCATGCATGTATATGCTTGTGTATATGCATGTATATGCATGTTTTTACAATATGCATATGAGAATGCATGCATGTATATGCCCCCCACTCTCGGCATGGCTAGGAGGTAGGGAGCTTATATGCTTATGGTCATATTAATATGTATTTGTGAATGTGTGTGCTTGTGTATATGCGGGGTTTGTGTGCATGTGCTTAAACACATGCATACTAATGTGTGTATATGTGTGTGCATGCATGGGTGCATACACTTTCATGCATGTATATGCATATATACATTTTCATGCTTATATGAATGAATGCGTAAGTTCATCTGTGTATGTGCATGTTCAAATATGCACATTTGTGTGCATATGTGTGAGCATGTGTGTACGTGCCCACATTTGGATGTATGGTAGGGGAGAGGGGAAGGGACTGTATATTCCAGGAATAATCTTCTCTCCTTTCAGGCAATGAAACCATCTGCCCGCCAAATATCTACATCGAGTGTGCCGACCACACGCTGGGTCCGTGCTGCCTTCTCCCTTCCCAATCCTCCATCACCCTCTTCATCTCTCTGTTCTCCTCACTGTCTTGGCTCCTCTCCTCCCAGTCTCTCCCTGTGGGTTGAGCTTTATCTCCCCGAGTGGGGGGGGGGTGTTCTGAGGACCTCTGCAGATGCAGATACTTGGGTAAGTGGAGGCAGTAGAGTGGGAAGTTGCAGAGAACCCAAGACTAGGAGCGAAAGGCTTCCCATCTTGGTTCAGCCAATGAGCTCACCCTCTCTGAGAAACTGAAATGACTTCTCTCTTGGTCTCAGGAAAAATGCATTGCTGGCTATCAGTGTGGGTGAGGCAAACCTCATCTGTCCGTAGGTCTCTCCTGATCTGCAATTCATTCATCCACCCATTCGTTCATTGAGAGTGGGAGCAAGAGCTCACAGCCCAGCATGGCTGTGGGCAGGCATTACAACACTGGGTCAGTTCTTGCATAGGGAACCTCAGGGGTGCTACAAGGCCTCTGGGAGGCTGCATGCAGCCCCAACCTGGGAAGCCAGGGAGGATTCCTAGAGGAAGTGACATATTAGCTGAGGCTTGAAGCATGTATAAGTCAGCCGGGTGCAAAGGGGGACATGTTCTAGGCTGTGGGAACAGAGTGTGCTAAAGACCTTGTGGCCAGAGAGTGTGCTGTGTCTGGGGCACTTAAAGGTCAGTGTGGTTGGAGGGCAGAGAACAGGGGAAGGACTGCAAAGAGTGGAGAAGAGAGGCTCTGGGAAGCCAACAAAGGCTTAGGGGAAGGCAGGAACACCATCTGATTTTCAGGTGAGTCTGATGAGATGTAGAGAATGGATAGGAGGGAACTAGGACTGAAGCAGGGGATGGGCCAGGAGCTCATTGCAGTAATCCAGAGGTGATGGGGACTTGGGGATGGGTTGCGATACTCGGCGGCAGAGTCTCACACCCAGGCCTTCTCTGTCCTCCACACCACCCACACCCATCAAAGGGGTGGTTGAAGAGTGTTCATTGAAGGAACAGATGTGTGAGCAGGGACAAGGGAACTACAAGTGATGGTGAGAGTCCACAGAACCAGCAACACCAGGGAGTCTTTACCCCACGCCTGAAGTGGTAAAGGAAGGGAGTGCTATGGAACCCAGAGAGAGACCTGTGGCTGCCAAGGGGCCCAACTGACAGCAGCATGGCCACGAGTGGAGGAATGCAGCTTCTGCCAACCTACAGCCTGGCAGTGAAGAAGTGGGGGGTAAAGAAATACCTTGGCATCTCTCTCCTCCCGCCCTCTGGTTTGGCCTCCTGTTGGCCAAACCCAACACGAAGCCAAAGGAAAAGGGAGTGCAGGTGATGCATTTCACCGAGGTCAGCTTCCTGGGGCACAGAGCAGAGTGGAGGAGAGTGGGTCTGATGGAGCAAGCAGAGAAAACTCACACATGGAGCATGTGAATCTTGCCCATCCATTTGTCCTTCTGTCCGTCCATCCACCCATCCATCCATCCATCTATCCATCCATCCCAGCATCCTCTTCATGCCTCCTTGTGTGTCTGGGGCCTCATGTAGTTGATTCACTCTGGAGAATGGGCCCTGCCCTCCTTCTGAGCCATGAAGACCTCCCTGTCCCAGGGGGCTGGGAGGCAGAGGGATAAGCTTGCTGGAGGGTGCTGGGGGGGTTCTGGTGACACCTGCTCTCTTGGGCAATCTGAAGCTGATTCAGGAGGGGACCCCCAGCCAGTCTCCTCTAGGAAGTGCCAGGGCTGGCCAGTAAAGGCCCCCAGCATGGACGTGCCTGCCTCAAGACAGCCCCTGTGCCTTGGCCCTGCAGCTGGTGGGCCCCTGGACCACCCCTCCCCCCGCCATTGCATTTGGTGCCTCTGTGTTGCAGACTCCCTGGGTGGGGGCTCCGAGGGCCCGTGTTTCTGCCCTACCCCCTGCAACCTGACCCGCTACGGGAAAGAAATCTCCATGGTCAGGATTCCCAACAGGGGCTCAGCTCGGTACCTGGCAAGGAAGTACAACCGCAATGAGACCTACATACGGTAGGTAGCGCGCGCGTGTGTGTGTGTGTGTGTGTGTGGTGGAGGCCATGCTCAACAGGCCTGGTGCATGGCAGAGACTGGAAGTGGGCTGTGTCTTTGTTTACCAGCGGTTCTCTGCCAGGAATGCCTTTCACAGTCCTTTTCTTCTAACCCCTACCCCATCCTCCAAGTCACATCCTGTGTCTCCACCTCCAGGGAAGTGCTGCCTGGTTCAATCCCTTTCGTCTGAGCTCCCACAGCACCCTGTACATACCTCTGCTCTGTCGTTGCATGTACTCCATTGTTTTAGAAGCTTTTGTTTATGTGTCTTTCTCTCCAGCAACTGGGAGCTGTTAAATGCACCTTGAGAGAATGCCATGCTGAGGGAGAGGAACAGGATGGGATGGCAGAGGAGCAAAGTGGCCTGCAGGCAGGAGGGGCCACATTGAAGCTTGGGTCTCAAGGCTGAGCATGGTCTAGGTCCCAGGCCCAGTGCTGGGTCCCATGGGAACAGATGATTATGACCCAAAACTCATGCCACAATTTGTGCATGAGCCCATGTTTGATGGTGTAGTGTGGATTCTCAGGCCTGGTGGGGGAGGGGAAGCAGGGGAGGCATGAGTTGGGCCTCTGAGGACCCCAGGTTTGGGTCCATAAGAGGAGGAGAGAGGGGATGTATACCATTTAGACAACTGTGGGATGGTGCAGAGATGAGCCTGAGCAGTAGGGAGGCTGTGTGGAGAGAAGCAGAGAAGAAAGCAGTTTGGATAGGAAGGCACAGTGAACAGACCATGGGCAGCCTTGAAAGTCTAGACAAGGAATTTTGCAGTGGACAATGGGGAGCTACTGAAGATTCTAGAGAGGCGTAAGGGTGAGGCAAAGTGAACACTATTTGCTGCTTTAGAGGAGGCAGGAAGGAATCCTTCAGGCCTAGTTTTATTTTACTCTCCTGGGCCCTTTGCTGCCCCTCATAATATGAAGCTAACACACATCTGGAATGTCCGCCTCCCCTCACAGTCTTTGGGAGTCCGAGGGGGTAGTCATCAGCTTCCTCGCATAGGGGTTGTTAGATGAGGATCTGCTGGACGCCCCTGCCAGCTGCCTCCTTAGGAAGAGTGGCTCCATGCAGATGCCCTGCTTCCTGTCTTTGCAGGGAGAACTTCCTGGTCCTAGACATCTTTTTTGAGGCCCTGACCTCTGAAGCCCTGGAGCAGCGGGCAGCCTATGGCCTGTCAGCCCTGCTGGGTGAGACCTGGCCCCTGTCCCAGCTTCTATGGGAGTGGGTTGGCCCAGCCTGCTCCCTCTGACCTTGTGCTCCTGCTCCCCAGGAGACCTAGGGGGACAGATGGGCCTATTCATCGGGGCCAGCATCCTCACGCTGCTGGAGATACTCGACTACATCTATGAGGCAAGGGACCAAGGAAGTGGAGGGTGGGTGTGGGGCTTGGGGAAAGCAGAGGGGGCTGTGCAGGCTCCCTGGTAGAGCTGGTGTGGCTGGGAAGTCAAGCTCAGGGTTCTTTCCAGGGTCCCTTGTCTGGCTGGAAGGCCTGAAGGCTCTGAGGAGTCAGAGAAGAAGATGGGCCAGGAGGATGGGGTGTCCTGCTGGGGGGTTGCTGGGGCAGTGGGTCCTATATGCTGGGACTGGCACGGCCCTCCCTTCTCTACCAAATTTCCTGAGCCTTCTGCTATCCCCCACCCTGAACCCCAAGGTGTCCTGGGACCGACTGAAGCGGGTGTGGCGGCGGCCAAAGACCCCTCTGAGGACTTCCACCGGGGGCATCTCCACTTTGGGGTTGCAGGAACTGAAGGAGCAGGTGAGGGACTGAATACTCCCCCCAGTTTCTGAACTAGCCTTTGTGGGGGGGTCCCTGGGCTCCCCTGGAGCCTCTGTGCCAGGGGACAGGGAAAGGTTGGTTGCGTGAGGCCTGGGGGCACCACTTGAACTCTCCCCGTCCCACTCCCTCTTCTTGCAGAGCCCCTGCCCAAGCCGGGGCCGTGCTGAGGTTGGGGGCGCCAGCAGCCTGCTCCCCAACCACCACCACCCCCATGGCCCCCCAGGAGGTCTCTTTGAAGACTTCGCCTGCTAGGATGGTGCTATGTCTGAAAGGACCCAGGCGTCTGCCCTCCCTGGATCCCAAGCATATTCTCCTCTTGCACCTGGGACAGAGGGCCGGGGGCACACCGGGCTGAGGGGAGGGGGTGGTGTGCACTGGGAGGGCCAGGAAGGACCCAGGCGTCTGCCCTCCCTGGATCCCAAGCATATTCTCCTCTTGCACCTGGGACAGAAGGCCGGGGGCACACCGGGCTGAGGGGAGGGGGTGGTGTGCACTGGGAGGGCCAGGACTCAATTCCTGCTCTCACCCGGCCCTGACCCTGGTGTCAGCTGCTTTGCCCAAGGGTCCGTCTTGTCCACACTCCTCTCTCCCAGGCTGGTGCCCAGGGAGGGCTGGAGACCATTCCATGGGCCCCCGTGGAGAAGGAGGAAAGGAGAGAGGGAGGTGGGGAACGGAGCCTACCCCAGCAGGGGTGGAACCCTCTGTACATTTGTATATATTTAGGGAGGACAGGGTGGGGGTGGGGTACACATGTAGAAGGTGGGTGGGGCTATAGGGGTGGGTGATTCAGGGACAGCTAGGATCCTAGCCCCAATGTCAGCAGGACAGAGCAGCCCCCAGGACTCAGGAGTGCTGGGCTGGTCCTACTTCCTTACCCTATCCAGGCCCAGCTCCCCTCTTGGCAGGGGGAGTGGGTGGCCCAGCAGGCCTGGCCCAGCTCCCAGTTCCCCCTGCACACACCTATCCCCCGGAGTCCCCTCCACAGGGAGCAGGCAGGAGACCTTTCACACCGTGGCCAAGCATGGGGGGTGGAAAGGGAGCTTTCTCAGGCCTCTCCCTCCTGTCTGGTTTTATAAAGTGCTGACGACATTGGGAATAAAGAGGCATAAAGAATTCTCTGTCTGTATGTGTGACCAAGCATGTGCTGGGGGCTGGTGCAAGGCTGGGTATATGCATGACTTGGTCCCTGGTAAAAGGAAATGCAGGCCCCTGCAGGAACAAGGGAGCCTCCGTCCTCACGGTCGGCCCTCCCCCCACCCCCCATGCTTACCTTTCAAAAACTCAGAATCACGAGTCCACGCTCAGCCAGTTTATTAGAGGCAGGGAGCTTCATTAGGGGCCCAGAAGGGAGAAGATGGGAGACAGCCCCCTCTCCTCTCTCACCTCCCCCCTTTCCCAACAACTCATCTACAGCCCAGCCCCCAGGGCCCGACCCCAGGAGGCGCAGCTGGCGTCAGGCAGACTGTACTGCATAAATACACAGAGGCCACAGCTGGAATCAGCAGCGTCAAGGGGGCAGGAGGACGGGATTGAGGCAAGAAGGGGGTGGCTCCAGGGGTACCTCCCCCAGGGCTTGTTCTGAGCCCAAGGATCCACAAAGCCAGAGAGAGGGGACCCAAGGATTGCTCTGGGGTCTGTGGCTGCAGCCAGCCCTGTCCAGCGAGGCTGGCAGGTGGCTCTGGGTTGTTGGGGAGAATTATGCAGGGTGCGGCTGTGCCAGGGCTCAGGGGCACAGGGCAGGGTCAGGTGCTGTTGCCCTGTTCCTGCTCAAAGAGCAGCATGGCAAGCTGGGTCCGGGAGCCAAGGCCCTCAAGCACACTCTGGCGGCAGCGGTGGTACAGGTCTTCGCTGAGCCGGGCACTGCACGTCTGGGCCCGGTAGCGTTGTAGCAGTGCTGGCTCTACCGCTCGTAGCACATGCAGGCCTGAGAATCTCAGGAACAGCTCATACACGTCCAGACTCTCCAGCAGCTCCTCCTCCTGCTCCGAGGTTGCGGCCAGCCGCCCGCGGGCTGCCACGTAGTCAGAGTTGTAGAAGCAGGCCTCACTGGCTACCTGGCGATCAAAGCGGCCTGTGTCACGGCCCAGTTCTGGTGGCCCTGGCCCTTGTGGTGGGGCCACGGCCGGATGGAAGGCCTGAAAGTGCATGGGAAAGAAGGCCTGCCAGCCAGAGATGGCATGCATGCGGCAGCGGTTAAGGAAGTCAGGTGTGAGCACCGTGTCGGGCCCAGTCAGCAAAAACAGTGTGTCCAGCGGGTGCTTCTTGGAGAGTAGATCCATGAGGCGCAGCGGTGAAGGTGCAGCTGTCTGCACACTAAGCCAGGGCACCCTGGCTCCGGGGAAACGACGCTCCAGCTCTGCCACGTGGGCTTTGACAGGTGTGAAGACATCTGCATGGGCTGCTCGCTGGGCCTGACGTGGCTCATACAGTAGCAGCAGGGTCAGGGCTGCCGCAGCATCACCAGGCTCCAGTGCTGCAGCAGCAAAGGCCTCCAGGAAGCCAGGGGCCAGGTCACGCTCGGCTGCAGCCAGAGGCAGCAGCACAGTGAGACGTGAGGCCTCTGTGACATAGGGCACAGGCAAGATCTCCACGCGGCTCAGCGGCCGGAGCAGCTGCACCCGGCGGGTGAGAGGCCGGCGGCCACCCTGGGGAGTTAGTGCCTCCAGCTGCAAGTCCAGTGTGTACTCCATACCCCGGGCTGGATCAAAGCGTCGGTAGCCATTAACCAGCTGCTGCTTCTGGAGCCGCAGGGCCGGGTGGTAGCGGCGGTTGAGCTCTTCCACGGCTGCCTCCAGAACATCAGCCACATCAGCCCGGTCGGCCCCACGCAGCGGGCAGCGGGGTGAGCCATCAGCGCAGAAGAAAGCATGCTGCTCTGTGAAATAGTCCCAGCGCAGTACCTCAAAGCGGGAGGCTGGGCGGGAAGGTGCTGGAATGCCCACGGGCCACGCAGCTGCCCGCTCCCCATCAGCTGCCAGACGGCTGGTGTTCTGGATCTCCCACTGGGTTGGAGAAACAGGACATGAGCAAAGTAGAGACTACAGAGGCCAGAATGTAGCTGGGGGACTGGGTAGGCAGCAGGTACCAATCAGGATGGGTCCTCAGTTCCCTGCCAACCTCTGCCCACCTAGGGTCCCCCTATCCTTTCCCCAGATGTAGGGAGCCTAAAAGTTAAAAGGGGGTTATGGAAGCGGGCTGGGAAACAGGTTTGATTTGTGATTCTACTGCTTTTTATTTCCATGGGATCTCTGAAAACTCTAAGATTCCCCTCCCATTTCTCCCGCAGCCCCAGGCCCAGACCATACCTGCAACTCCTGGATTTCCCGGTATGTGCGTTCCAGCTCAGCTCGGGCAAAAGCCTTGTGCAGCTGGTACATATGCACAGGGTCACGCACAGGGTGGGCTGTCAGGGCACTGTGGAAACGAGGGTCCCCCTCCTGCACAGGCTCCCCAGGACTTAGCTCCATATAGCTATAGTGCACCCCCTGGGGAGAGGAAGAGAAGGGGTCCATAATGGGAAGAAAGATAGAATTGTCTTCCCCCTTGTCTCATAGCCAGTGTCATCTCCTCATCCTATGTCCTGTTGTGGAGTCGGGGTCAGATTTCTGTGGATTTAAGTCTACCTTGTCAGTTGTGAGTTTGTGTGACCTTGGGCAAGCCTCTGCTAGCTCATCTGTGAAATAGGCATGCATCCTGTCTAAGACTTGTCCAGGGGCTCAAATAAAACAATGACTAACACGAACATGTACTATGGGCAAGGATCCCTTATTTTTTCTAATCCTTTGGGTCTTAGTGGCTGGCTGGTAACAGGGACCAAACCTTGGATCTTGGTGTTATCATCTAATCCTTATAACAACCCTGAGCAATAATTATTTCCATTGGCATGGATGAGGATATTGAAGCTCAGGAGATTTATTACTTATTTACCCAAGGTCAGAGGGATAGAAAATAACAGAGCTGGTATGGAAACCCAGGCCATTATCTCCACCACTACTTTGTCGCTCAGGTGTTAAGTGCACAGATAGGAGGCCCCAGTGGGGTGGCTTATCTTCCCACCTCGTGGTCGCCAGTGCAGCCAGCCCCTGTGGCATCAAGGATGCAGCGTCCCAGCCACTCGTCCGGGCGTGCACTGACGATGTCATTGCGGCAGCTTTCCAGGTGGGGGCGCAGCTGCTGCAGTAGCGTGCGGGATAGCAGCACCCCAAAGCCACCGTGGCAGTAGCGGCCTGGGGTGGGCTCTCCACCGATGAAGTCCTGGGGCCGGCCCAGATAGAGATGACCAGCGGCGGCCAGGCTGAGGTGACCAGTTAGGTGTGCCACTCCGTGAGCCTCGGTGTAGGTAGAGTCAGGCACTAGGAAGAACCAGTCAAAGTCGTCGCCGTGCTGCTCCAGCAGGTGGCGCAGCGCCAGGTGCAGGTGCCCAATGGGCCGCTCCTCGCCCAGAGTCACCACTGCCATGCCCGGTGGTGCTCGGCGGCCCCGTGTGCCTGTCAGGAACACCACACGCTCTAGTCGGTGCCCCAGCGTGCGGTTCACGGCCACACCCAGCGTGGGCAACGTGGCCTGGGAGGTCAGTACCGCCACCAGCAGCCTCTGCCTGATGCCCAGCTCCGTACTGATGTAGCGTGTCCTGGGGGAGGAGACGGCACAAAGTTACCAAACAGACAACAGGGCAGGCGGAGACAGCACACACAGGCTCTGGGTCTATTACCTCACTTATGAATAGGATAAGAATCACACCTCTCCTAGGGGTCATGATGATTTAAGCAAAATATTGGTCTTACCTACATAGTGCTTTGCATTTGGGAGATGGCAATATCCATGCAGATGTGAAAGATATATTGTGGGTCTGATTCCCCATTTCACTACTTAGAAGCTGTGTCTTGAGTACATTATTTAACCTGAATCATCTTTAAAATGGGACTGGTTGTATCTATTTAAAGCACTTAGCCAAATGCTTGGCACACCATGTGTATACCTATTTCTATATAAATACGCTATTATACCACAGATACATCACAAAAATTATGTAAAGGAATATAAGGCATAGGGGTGTATTGAGTGTGTTTGGGGGAGGGGCAAGCTGGGACTCAAGGGATCCAGTAACCCACTTTCTGTAAGGCAGAAGGGAAGTTGCAGAACTGGAATTTGAACGCTGAGTTACTTAGGAAAAATTGTTTCAACTCATCAGCAAGACATTAATGGGATGGGTACATTCCTCCCTTCTCCATATCACCCCAAGGTGACCCTTGTTACCCCCCCAGGAACAAGAGACACAGGTAAATCCAAGTTCTCTCCTTTCTCTGTCCCTCTCTGTATACATTCGCCCTATATACTAGTCATTTCTCTAACCCTAACAGACCACCAAGTGAGCTTAGAGGATCTCTGGGGGACTATCGAGTCAAGCCGGTTTTGGACAGAGGCGGGGACTGGGCCGAGAGAGGGCCTCAGACTGGCCCCACGGCTCCCGGGACAGCAGGGACATCGGAAGTTATCAGGACCCGAAGACTTCCTGGCCGGCCAGCCCCTTCCTTCCGGAGCCCGACCCGGCCCCCGGCAGCCTCCCCCGCGCGCGCGTCCGGGCGAGTGCCCACGGGGCGGGGCGGACGGAGCCGCTCGCTACCTGACGGCCTTTTTGGTGGCCTGGCCGGGCTGTGCGGGGTGGTAGGGCAAGACGCGCGGCTCCCAGTTCTCCCCGGCGCCCGCGCCGGCCCCGGGCCTCTCACGCTCCGCTCCCGGCTGCACCGAGTTGGGGCGGCGCGCCGCGTTGGTGTTGCCGCGCGGCGGCAGCTCAGAGTCTCCAGGTTGGGGCGGCCCTGGGCCGCACGGCTCCTCCACCCAGGTGACGCTGAGAAGGCTCAGAGTGAAGCCCAGGGAGATGCCCACGGCCACGGGCCCTGCGGGCCGCAGCACCGACAGCAGCAGCGATGCCCGCATGGCGCCCGGACCGCGGGCCCCCGGCCCCGGCGCAACCCCTGAGCAGCCAGAGGCGGCTCCGAGGGGGCGGGACCGGGGAGGGGGCGGATCCGGAGGGCCCGAGCCCAGCGGGCGGGCCCGCTCCCTCCCCGCCGAGCAGAGCCAGCGGCTCAGACGAGTCCCCTGCGCCGCGCTCCGATCCCCTCCAGCCGTTGCTCCGTGCGGTGCGGAGTTCCTGCGCTCGGCGCCACAGCCGCCGCTGTCCGACGTGTCACTGAGAGGGCCCCGCCCTCGGGGTGCGGTCTCCGCCTCCAGCTACCGGAGAGGGAGGAGAAGGGGGAGGTTAAAGGGGAAGGACCCCCGGAAGTGCCCCCTCCTCAGTGCGGGAGAGGGAGACGGCTAGGGGCGGAGTCCCCTGCTTCCCCCGGCGTGGTTGGTGCGTCCCGGTGACGTCAGAAGGAGCCCGCCCCTGCCTGGGTGGTGCACCCTGAGTGACGTCAGGCGCAGAGGCCGGAGCTGTCCATCAGCACCAAAGGCCGCGGGCGGGCTCAGGGCATGGGGCCGCGGCTTTGGGGCGGCCCGAGCCCCTGCTCCTGCTCCTCTCCCTTTCCCAGGCCCAGTCTGAGTCCCCAGACGCCGTGGGACTGGAGTGCCAGCCGGTGTTGGAGGGGGAGCGGCGACGCCGCCGCCCAGAGAACGGTCTCTCCGGCCCCGCAGCCCCCTTCCCTGCACGGCGGACTTTTTCCCGGACCCCAGTCAGTTGGAGCCTCTGGCGTCCCGCCATCCCGGCCTCTCCGGCCTCTGCACAGCTTCTTTCGCCCAGAAGCTCAGGTCGCCTCCAGCCCAGGTAGATCTTGGACAATCCCGGATTTAGCCGCCTACGGACAGTCTCCTAGCTGCCTCCTCACCGGCAGCACACTGACTTCATCTCCCCCCACCCCACCTCCCAGACCCCTTTTTAACTTCAACCCAGCCCCCTCTAGCCAGGCACTTTTATTTCCCTTTGTCTTTGCCTCCCACTCCAGGGATGCCTCCAGAGCTGCATCATGTAGGCACCACTCCTTTGTCCACTGTGTCCCTGCTTAGTTCTCCCACTCCCACTCCCACCTGCATCCCGGTGCGGACCCAGGACTCCTCTTTGACCCCAACTTCCTCTGTGTCAGGTTGACCTGGGAGGGTGATTCCCTTTGGTTACCAACACTATGCCAGGCACTGTGGAGACACTGCGGTTCCAGCTGCTGCCTCCCGAGCCAGATGACGACTTCTGGGGCGCACCTTGTGAACAGCCCCTGGAGCGCAGGTACCAGGCGCTGCCGGCCCTCGTCTGCATCATGTGCTGTTTGTTTGGAGTCGTCTACTGCTTCTTCGGTGAGATCCCCATCTCATCCCTCACCTGGGCTCCCCACTGTTTCCCTGAGTTCTTTTTCTGAGGTCCCCCAAATCTTCTCCGGAACCCTCACCCCACCACCTTGAATAGCTATCTTTGTTTTCCTCCTTTCTTTCATCCCACACATGTTTGTGGATCATTTAGACTCTAGATTCTAGAGAATACAGGTTTTTAAATTAGGCATGCTTGAGTTTGAACCTGGCTCTGCACCTTACTAATTGTGATGGCTTGGGCATGTTGACCTCTCTGAGCCTCAGTTTTCTCATCCGAACAATGGGAACAACGATATTTGTCTCACATAGGGTTGTTATGAGAATTAATAGGCACTCAATAAATAGTAGCTATTGTGGTGAAGATGTGTTTGGGTCACTGTACTAAATAGGCACTGAAAACACTTAGCAGGGTGATTAAACATGGCCCCTTACCACAGGGCATGTTGTCTGACAGGAGAGAAACTCCTGGAACACTCACACCTATGATACATTTTACAGTGGGCTGAATGATAGTCACACTCATGGAGATTGCCTACAAGGCAGACTGGTAATCAGGACAGTTGTACAGAACAACTGTGCAAATTTTTTAAAGTTTGTAAAAATTTACAACATTTGTACAGTTGTACCTATGGTACATACTAAATGTAGGCTGATAAGTAGTCACACTCATGGAGATCACCTGCGAGGCAGGCTCCAGTAATCAAAACAGTTGTACCAGATGGGTACTGAACAAGGGAGCTCAGCTGAATAGACAAGGCAGGGGGTGGGGGGTGGGGAGGGAGGCTGAAATCCAGCTCATGCTCCTCTTGCTAAACTCAAGGCCTTGACACAAAGCTGCTTTGCCTAGAGAAGAGCATACCTTTTTGTAATTTGCACAAAGGTGCCATATGGGCTAGTGGCAGCCTGGAGTAAGTGCCCAGTGATTCTACACCAACAGTCACAGAACTTCAGAGAAGACAGTGAGCTCTATAGGCTGGTGGACTAAGGAGAGCCTCCAGTAGGAAGATTATAAGTGACTGGAAACAGTGGGGGCAAAGGAGGCTGGGAGGTTTGGGCTCCAGCCTGGGCAGAAGTAGGACAAGACTTGTGTTCTGCAGCCTCCATGCCTCCCCTGAGAATGGGTGGGTAGACAGGGGTAGGAGCCAGATGGTTCCTTCCCTTCCACCCCCAAACTCTGGGCTGAAGTGCAGAGTGGGCAGGAGGAAGTGCCCCCTCCTTCCTCTGCCCCCACCACACACACGGGTTCAGGATACATTCTGGGCCTCTGAGGAGTCTGTATCACTTCACCCCTTGCGCTGTCCCTACCCACTCTGTGCATGTTGCTCAGTGCCGCCTCATATCCCCTCTCCTGGGCTTCCCTCACATCCTACCCATCTTGGATGCCCCTGCGCCCAGGATCTTGTACTCTGAGCCCTTGTCCATGCACTTACTACTCTCACCGACCCCAGGACCTCGTGGACTCTGATACTTCCCCTCATTCCTAGAACTGAATCTCCTCTTTATTATCTTTCTCTTTGACTCTTCCTGACTCCTTGACCACCATCTCTGACTTCCATCTTCCCAACTGTTCAGGATCTACACCTCCCTCGCCCTTTCAGGTACTTCTAACCCAATGGCCCTATAACCTCTTTATTTCTCCATAACCACTATTTTCTCTTTGATTCCCTGTGATTCCTTGTAAGACCTACTGACCTCCACCATCCCTGTTACTCATGACGTTCCATCCCTCTGACCCCCTCTATTACTCCTAACTCTGATCCATGGTTACTCCTAACTCTCTGACCCCTATGACTCCATCATCTGATCTCCCCTCCTCACACTGTGATCTCGATGATCCCATTTCTCTGGCCTCAGTGTTCCACTTGGAATACTTTTATTGTATAGTATTCTATATATATAGTATATATATATAGTATAGTATTCTCCCTTTAATACTATCGTGATTCCATTTGGTCAGTCCCCCTGCCTGGCAAAGACCTCATCTCCTGGAACTCCTCCCCAATAATCCTGCTTCTCTGTCCTCTTTGTAACCTTCCAGTGATGCTATATCTCTGAAGTCTCATAACCCCTCAAAGTCCTCATCTTTCGAACATGTGTGACCCCCATCTCTCAAGTTCTTTCTAACTTCACAATACCTCCTCTTTCTGAACAATCCCTCACCAAAGACCCCAATGACTCTTTTGCTGATCACCTTGTGACCCCAATGACCTACCACTCTGACTCCCATGATCCCAAAGATCCCGATGCCCCTATTACTGATTCACTCTTGACTCCAGTGATTTATCCTGTCTCCTGTGATCCTTAAAGATCCCAAATCATTATTTCAATGATTATGCCTGTTTTTCCAGTTATCCCCAATGACTATATTTCTCTGACCTCCCCTAACCTCTGTGGCCCCATCACTGATGCCTTCCCAACCCCAGTGACCTCCAATTCTCTGATCTTGGCTTCCTTGTCTCTGGTTCCCCTGTGATCCCATATCTCCGACCCCTCTGACCTCCTCCCTCCAGCCCGGTGACCTCATTTTGGCCCCTCACTAGTCCCTGTTCCCCTCCAGGTTACCGCTGTTTCAAGGCAGTGCTCTTCCTCACTGGGTTGCTGTTTGGCTCGGTGGTCATCTTCCTGCTGTGCTACCGAGAGCGGGTGCTGGAGACGCAGCTGAGTGCTGGGGCGAGCGCAGGCATCGCACTGGGCATCGGGCTGCTCTGTGGGCTGGTGGCCATGCTGGTGCGCAGCGTGGGCCTCTTCCTGGTGGGGCTGCTGCTCGGTCTGCTGCTCGCTGCTGCCGCCCTGCTGGGCTCTGCGCCCTACTACCAGCCAGGCTCTGTATGGAGCCCACTGGGGCTGCTGCTGGGGGGTGGCCTGCTCTGTGCCCTGCTCACGCTGCGCTGGCCCCGCCCACTCACCACCCTCGCCACAGCCGTGACTGGTGCCGCACTCATCGCCACCGCCGCTGACTACTTTGCTGAGCTGCTACTGCTGGGGCGATACGTGGTGGAGAGACTGCGGGCTGCACCTGTGCCCCCCCTCTGCTGGCGGAGCTGGGCCCTCCTGGCACTCTGGCCCCTGCTCAGCCTGATGGGCGTTCTGGTGCAATGGCGGGTGACAGCCGAGGGGGACTCCCACACGGAAGGTGAGAGGGCACAGCCAGGGTGGACATGGGAGGCAGGGATAGCCAGGGATGGGTGGAGGATGAGTGTCTGGGGAGTGGGGTACAGAAGCTGTACATGCCAGCAGTATAAGGCCTCAATGGGGTTAGAGAGCTGACTTGATCAGGGTCTGGGAGGATAGGACCCAAGTGCCGCCATTCATTCTGCAACAATGTATGCAGCATCAGGTCTGTGTCAACCCCACTCCAGGCCTCCACTGGGGATACAACAGAGATAAAAAAGAAAAGGTTCCTGCCCTTATCGGTGTACATTTGGGGTAGGGGGAAGACAAAAAAAAGACATGAAAACAAATGATAATTCCAGTTGTGCAGAGTGATATGGGAGAGATACGCAGGGTAATAGGAAAGAGTGACCTTATTATGGAGGCTATTATAGTTAGGCTGGCTGAGGAGCTGACATGTAAGCAGAAACCTGAAGGATAAGGGGCCAGCCATGCAAGAGCTGGAGAAGAGGGAACAGCAAGGGCAGGGGCCTGCGAAGAAATGAGCTTGGCTTGTTTGAGGAAGTAAGAATGTAGTGTGGTAGGGGAGGTATGGGAGTCGGGCTGATAGAAGGATAAGGGGCCAGCCATGCAAGAGCTGGAGAAGAGGGAACAGCAAGGGCAGGGGCCTGAGAAGAAATGAGCTTGGCTTGTTTGAGGAAGTAAGAATGTAGTGTGGTAGGGGAGGTATGGGAGTCGGGCTGATAGTGTCAGTCCTCCAGGCCATGATAAGGACTCTGAATTTTATTAGAAGGGCAATGAGATGCCATTGGAGGGTTTAAAGTGGAGGTAGCAATAATCTAATTTAGCATTTGGGATGCTCATTCTGCTACTGAGTGTTGAAAGCATTGAAGAGCATGGGGGAGGAAGCAGCTGTGGTTGTCCAGTTGAAAGATGATTGTGGCTGGCCTAGGTGGGTCACTTGTGGCTCAGGATTAGGAGAGGAGTAACAGCTGGGGAGGGGGTGACTGAAGTCTAAGAATCTTCCATAAAGACCTTCAGAAGAAACAACAACTGTAGGAAGTCCCATCAGGTGGATTTCTACCAGGTGGGAGACTAGGAAAGGAAGGGACAGGGTGAGGTTGGGCGGTTATGGACGAGGCAAAGCTGGAAGCCTGGAGCCCCCAGGTGGGAAGGGAGAGAGAGAGGGAGGGCTTGGGGGGTGATGAGGCTCGTGGGCCTCTGAGACCCTTCTCTGGCCACCTCTCCACAGTGGTCATCAGCCGACAGCGACGACGTGTGCAGCTGATGCGGATTCGGCAGCAGGAAGAGCGCAAGGAGAAGCGGAGGAAGAAAAGACCCCCTCGGGCTCCCCCCAGAGGTTCCCAGGCTCTTCCAAGGCCTGGTCCCCCTGACCCTGCTTATCGGCGCAAGCCAGTGCCCATCAAACGCTTCAATGGAGATGTCCTATCCCCGGTGAGCACCTTGAGCCCTTCCTGACCAAACTGGGGAGAAAGGAGTGAGTAGGCTAAGAAAGACTGGGCTTTCCCCAGGGGCTTGTCACTACTAGAAGGCCTAGTGTTTGTCCACCCATCAGAACCCCTGAACCAGGGGCCTGGTGGGTCCAGCTTTGGGACTGGGGAACAGGGGTCCTGAGTATGCATTTTTAATGAGATATGGTATGTGGTGGGGTCTCAGGATTGTAGACTCTGGATGTGGTGAGTTTCTGGGTCTATGGTAGGCTGCAAGAATGTCCAGCTTGTGAGAGTGCAGGGAAAGATGGCTTTCAGGATGGGTCTGCAGTGGGACTCACACTTGTGTTTACTCCCCACAGAGCTATATCCAGAGCTTCCGGGACCGGCAGACTGGGAGCTCACTGAGCTCCTTCATGGCCTCGCCCACAGATGTGGACTATGAGTATGGGTCCCGGGGGCCACTGACAGCCTGCTCTGGCCCCCCTGTGCGGGTATAGCAGTATTCCCACCTGTCTAGACTCTGCAGTCACCAGCTCTGCCAGCTTAGAGAGGCCTGCCAGGCCACTACCCAGCCTGTCTGGCCCTGCGGACTTTGGCGGTGGTCCCTCTTCCCCAGCTGGAGAGGGCTGGCCCAGCCACTAGAAGGGAGGATCTGTCTCACGCTAGGCCTGGCCTGAGTGGAGAGCCCCCTCCCATGCTCCTGAGGGGCTTCTGTGGGTTGTGGGGTGTGAGCCCTTTTGGGATGTGCTCAGGGTTATAAGTGTGTCACCTGTGTGTGTGTATGTGTGTTTGGGGGGCGGGGTAGGTTTGGAGGGGACACTGAGATCCTTGCCTTTGACTTCTGATTGGCAGAGCTTCCCCAGGGTTGGCCCCGCCTCTTCTCCCACTACTGGGGTCCCCCGGGCCACTCTCCTGCATGTCTAAGAGGAGGAGGCCTGCCTTCTTCCCCATCGCTCTATCACCCCACCAAACTCATCTAAGAGTACTTGTCCTCGTCCACAGGGCAGCACCCCTTACCCTGGTTCCCTGGCCTCTGAAAAGCCACCAGCATGAGGTCAGGGGCAGGGGATGGGGGTGGGGGGTGATGCTCTGGGTTGGGTTGGGGAGGGGGTTGGAGGGAGAGGGGCTTAAATGCACGGTGCATGTCTGGTGTCTGTTATGCCACCCCAGACACCTCATGCTTATGTCTCCCCCCAACTCTATCCTGTTTTACATCTTTTATAAATGTGCCAAACTGTGTGGCCTCTGCCAGGAGTGGTGATCTTTGCTGGCTGGCATTTCCATAGGCCAAGCCTGAAGCACTACAGCCTTCAGTCCTCTGTGTCACTCACTACACAGGGGCTCCAGGCAAGGTCTGCCCTTCCATGTCACACAGAGAGACAGGGAAATGAGCTGTTGCACTTTATTGTTTCCTTCCCAGCACCTCTCGTTCCCCTGTCTCCCCACCCCTGCCCAGGGTAAGGGCACACGCCTTCCAAGCAGTCCAAGGACACCCGCCTGGCTTGGTCCAGTCCTTCTAGTTACCTGCAGAGTAATGACTCCATGTGGGTCTGGGGAGAGAGTAGATACCACCTCCCTCCCTCCTGGCAGAACCTGGACACCCTCAGCCTCTACCCCACCCTTTCTGGGCCTCTGTCAGGGCTGTCTGTGGGGGCGGAAGGTGAGGGTCAGTTAGGGGTGGGGCAAAGCATGGCATCTGAAGAGAATGCAGGGGTTGGGGCGGGGGGGCAGGGAAGGAGCATCTTCTATGTGGAAAAGGAAAGAAATGGGACTAGCTCAGGAGCCCTCTGCCCAGGCTGATGTTAAACTCGCATAGATGGGCAGAAGCCAGCTGGGCAGAGAGCAGGAAGGGGTGAGGGACAGGTGGGGGGTACAGATCAGTAACTAGGTGAAAAAGAGAAAAATTGGTAGAAACCGGGTGTACAGGAGAGACAAACGTGGTCCAGAGGCAGGAGGCAGTGAGGAGGAGCCCTGACAGGGGTGTGGAAAGGTGAGAACGGGTGCCTTGAACCCATTAGTTCCTGGTGAGAACTTGGGGCTCCCTCCCCTCCTCAGCCTTGGGTGTATTCTATCCCATCTCTCCCCCACTCCCCACCTCCAACACATCCCAGAACCAAATGCCACCCCAAGTCCTGGAAACTTCAGCCCAACAGCTCGCGACACCCCCTCCCGCCTGGCCAGTCGGCTATACTCACGCTCCACCAGCAGCCGGGTGTGGGCGCTGTCTTGGCCGGCCTGGCAGCAGTAGGTGCCCTGGTCCTCAGGTCGCACGTCATGGATGACCAGGCTGTGGGTGGGGCCGTGGCTGCGCATCTCGTACTTGTCTCCGGGACACAGCTCGATCCCCTCCCGCAACCAGCACACGTGGCCCCCTGAGCGGGACACAGTCACCTCCAGCACCGCCCGGCGGCCAATCAGAGCCGTCTTTTCGCGAGGGGGGCGACGGCACATCTGGACAGGCAATGCTGGGGGTGGGGGGTGAAGGGGCGGAGGCTTAAGTTAATAGTGACACGTACGGCTCTCAGGAGGAGAGACGCACCCCTGCGACCTCTACTCCTGGCCCCAGTCCTCTATGCCACCGATCCGTTCCTCTGTGCACCCAACCCACTCTCCTCCACCCCACCTCCTCCCCAGGAAACGCGCTGCCCTCTGTGACCCGCCCCAGGAGAGCCCCTCGAGGGTAGGAGAAGGGAGGGAGGCAGCCTTCCTAGGACCAGCCGCCAGACGGTCAGTCCCAGGGCAGAAGGTGATGCCCTCTTTCCTGACGGCCCGCTCCATTTGCTTACCCTCCACCTCCAGCAGTGCCAAGGACTGGGCGGGTCCCGCCTGGAAGAGGACTTCACCCGCATCCTCGGCGCGCAGCTCGCTCAGCACCAGAATGCGTTTCTTTCCTGGGGGTGAGGAGGGCGCTAGTGAGTCCAGAGCCGCCTCTGGGGAGGGTCCGGGGTGAGGGTGGGGCCGGAGCAGGCCCTTGGGTTGGTTGGGACGCGGTAAGTGTACGCTGGGGTGGGAGGGACCGGGATACCGAGAGGGAGGAGGAGCAGTACAGGACTCGGGGCTGGGGGCGGCGAAAAGGCCCTGGTGGGGCCGGAGCAGGCCCTCGGGTTGGTTGGGACGCGGTAAGTGTACGCTGGGGTGGGAGGGACCGGGATACGGAGAGGGAGGAGGAGCAGTACAGGACTCGGGGCTGGGGGCGGCGAAAAGGCCCTGCCTGAGACCAGGTTCTTCGGGCTCGGGGCGGGGCCTATTTGAGGCGGAGGCGGGGCTTATCCTAGTGGGGCGGGATCTGTTTGAGCCTGGGCGGAGCAGCAAGAGGCCAGAGAGGGTAGAAAGGAGGCCAGACCTTCCTGTCGGATGCGGACGCGGCCTCCGGTTCGCAGCGGACGGCCCCCGAGCTCCCAGCGCCCGGCGGCCTCTGCCTCCGACACGACGCACTCGAACGTGGCGCCGTTGCCTTCCCGGGCGCGCACCGACCGGAGCTCGGAGAGCATTGACAACACGCGCTCTGGGGCGGAGCCCGGAACGTGAGGCGGGGCGGGGCGGCCTTGGTCCCGCCCAAGCCCCGCCCCTTCTCTAGAAGCGCCAGGGGTCAGCCCCAGGGAAGGATGGGTCTGCAGCCCCCTTGTGCAAGGCCGTGCCCAGCCCCAGCATTGCCCCATACCCACCGCGCACGGTCAGGCGGACGGGCCCGGCGCGGGCCGTCCCCGCCGCGCAGCTGTAGGTCCCGGCGTCCGAGAGTCCGCAGCGACGCAGCTGGAGAAGGCGGCGAGTGCCAAGGGTCTGGAGCCTGAGCCGAGGGCTGGGGGTGAGCGCGCGCCCGTCCTAGGGGCGGGAGTTGCAGAGGGTCGGGGCGAGCCCGGCTGAGCACAGGGCCGCGGCCCTGGAAGGCGGGGCGGGGCCCTGAGTTGATGCCAAGTGGTCTCGAGGCGCCTTTATGCATGTCTTGTGTTCCCTGGCTGGGATAGGGCTGTCTCATGCCTTCTGGGCCGCGCCAGGAGCCTCTTTGAGAAGGTGTTACTCTTTGGGGACTTTAGGGCCGAGAAGAGGCACCCCGGGCGCGGGAAGCCCAGAGCCAGGTACCGATCACACGGAACAAGAGCGCGGATTCTGGAATCAGGCAAACCTTGATTCAAATATGGGCTCTGTCCCTTTTGTCTGTCCTTGGGCAAGTAATTTCATCCCACTGAGCGTCAGTTTCCTCATAAATAACACCGTGCTGAGGAGGCCTACCTCACAGTGTTGTAAGGATTAGAGGATTAAATGTAACGTAAGTCTTACCACAGTGCCAGGCACATCCACTCAATGAGTATTAATTTTTTGTTTGGGGCATTATTATTGTTGTCATTATGCCGAAGTGGTCTGGGCTGGGGCTGTGCTCTGACCTTCTCCCAGGTAACATCAGCCAAGGCCTGGGAAAGCTCGCACTCCAACGTAGCTGTGTCGCCCTCGGTCACCTCTAGGTCCTGTGGCCCCCGCACAATGGTCACTGGGATCTCTGGGAGTGGGAGAGGGAGAACAGTGCAGAGGGAGCAGGGGTAAAGGCAGATGGGGATTCAGCTTGCAGGGACAAGGAGGACACACTTGGGTACAAGGGGTCAGTGGTGGACACATGATAGTAGACAAGTGATGAATGGAGGCTATTAGTGAGTGAGGGATGTGCTGGGACAAGTGGCCTAAGGGGGATGCTGGTCAGTGGGGGACACAGCAGAGCCAGAGGGTCAATGCAGCAGAAGTGGCCAGCTGGGAGCCACACTTTAAGGTGGTCAGTGGTGGACATGCTGGAGGCTAGAGGGGAATGGTGGAAACTGGAGCAGAGATGCTAGTGGAGTCACCCATAGCCAGGCCTGGTCAGTGGGAGCCACGCTTGGCTGGAGTAGGGGGACAGTAGGAGATATTGATCAGTCGGGGACACAATTGGTTCAGAGACCCTAGCACAGGTGTGGTCAGTGGGCAACACGCTGGGGCTGGAAGCAAAAATGGGGACAATCAAGCAGAGTTGCTGGTGGAGTTAGACAGGCACAGTCAGTGGACTGGAGGGACTTGAGTGGTCACACCCAGGCAGGCAGAGGGGGCCACAGCAGGCAGGTGTGGTCACAGAGTGGTCAGGTGGGCAGACAGTAGGAACCACACTGGCACAGGCATGCTCATGGTGGCACGGTCAGTAGTTCTCAGGGCCTGGGGCAGTCAGTGGCCACAGGGACTGGAGTGGTCAACGAAGCCACACTCAGGCAGGGCAGTCACTGGGACCACATAGGGCCAATGGGTCAGGGGAGTCACATTCTGGCAGAGGTCAGTGAGGGCCACACTGGGACAGGCATTGTTAGTAGGGGCTACATGGGTAGTGGGATCAATAGTTACATCCAGGGGTGTCAGTAGGGCCAGGAGGGATAGCAAGCAGGCGGTGGTCCCAGAGTCCACACCTCTCACAGTGAGTCTTGCTGCACAGCGCAGGGAATCCACTGTGAAGGAGACGCAGCCTGAGTCGGCCAAGCCCAGGCCGCTCAGTACCAGACGGTGCATATGGCCCTCTGCGTGGATGTGGCACTTGGGCCCTGGCTGCAGCCGGACTCCGCCCCGGGCCCACTCCCCGGTCACACCCTCCTGGGACAGCTCTAGCTGGAAGGTGGCGCTGTCCCCCTCGGTGACAGTCACATCCTCCAGAGGCCGTAGTGCTCTCAGTTGTCTCGCTGGTGGGAGGAGATGGGGAGAGAGGAAGGGCTCCAGCTCTGGGCAGGGGTTGTAGGGGCCCACCCACCCCTGGGCCCTGCCTGCACCCAACCTAAGGCCCTGACAAAAGAAGTTCAGAAGCAGGGTGCAGGAGGAAGGGAGCACAGTGGCCAGACTTGGTGAGGGGAGGGGTGTATTGGGGTTAGGAAAGGACAAAAAAGGGGAAAGCGGTGGTTAGAGGGTTGAGGAGTCTGGAAGGAGCATGGAATTTGCAGTCAGACCCACTGGGATTGGAACCTAGCTCTACCACATAGTTTGTATGCTGTGTGATGCTTGGCAAACTGTTTGACCTCTCTGGGCCCTAATTTCCTCAATTGTACAAGGTGAATATCATTGAAACATGAGTTTATCGTAACGATTAAACAAATGAAATAAATTAGAAGAGAATATGTATCACCAACCACAACCATTTACCAAGCTCTGTGTGGGTATTTTTCATGTTATCTCAGTTAGTGTTCCCAAAGACCTTTTAGGTATGGATGAGCTCCATTTTAAAGGAGATTTGGCTCAGAAAGGTTAAGTAACTAGCATGAGGTCGCACAGCTAAATACAGAGCTCCAGCTTGGGATGGGGAGTCGGGGATGCTATTTGTCAGCCATCCCTGCTTCTTAAATGGGCATGTGTATCCCTGGGCCACACAACTGAAGGATGAACATGACATGTCCTTTTGGAGTATAATATTTATGTTTATAGCAAAGCCAACTTGGAAATATGAAATAGAATGCAAAATGCACATGGACTACCAAGGTAAATAGTAAACATTAGAAAAAGAAAAGTTTTGCTTTGGGCAGGATGCTTCAGTTTCTATCCCTGGACTGGGATGGCCAGGGCTGACTTTCCTCAGCAGCGAGGGGCACTTTGGTGGGGGTCTGAAGGGCTCTGGGACAGCCAGGAAAGGCTGTACCATGGGGCGGATGATGCCTTAGGAGAAGACAGGGCACTCACGCCTCACGCTGAGCCTGGCCAGGGTGCGATCGTGGTGGCTTTCACAGCCATAGGTGCCCTGGTCAGCCAGTAGGACACCATGGATGAAGAGGCGGTGGATGTGGCCATCCTGGGCCATGGACAGGCGAGAGTCGAGGGGGAGGGGGTCCCCACCTCGCACCCAGCGCACAGCCCCTGCTGCACCCACTCGGCCTGTCTCCACTTCGAGGCACACGTCCTGGCCTTCCTCAGCCCGCACATCTTGCAGCCGCCGCAGGAACAGCAGCTCTGTCTCTGGTGGGGAAGAAGAGAGGAGGCCATGGAGCCTGCAGGGGGCTGGAGGCTGGAGGCTGGCCTCTGCTGCACCCCACTGGTCTGTCCCTAGATGGAAGGACGAGGCTGCTAGTGCCAGGGCTGGGAGTACAGGGACAGGGTACAGAGCATTTTTGTCTCCATCAGGACCAAACCTCGAACATGGAGCCGGGCACTTGTGATCGTGCCCCCTGCCCGTGCAGTCACGGTCCCTGCATCCTCCAGCTGGCAGTTTCGCACGGTCAGTGTGCGGCTTGCACCATTCTGGGCCATCTCCAGCTGGGGCCCTGGAGTGACAATGTCCCCGTTGCGCAGCCAGGTGACGTCGGCATCTGGGGGAGAGACTTCACACCGGAATGTGGCATCATCGCCCTCATGGACAGTTAGTGGTGTCAGCTCTGAGACCAGCTTCACCGGTGGTGGCTCTGGGGGGTGGGGTCAGGCAGTGAGCTGTGCTGGGTCTTTCCCCTTCTCTTCTTTTCATCCCCTGCTTCAGGGTACAGGCCCTCGTTCCCATCATTTAACACACCTTTCATGAGGACCTACTGTGTGTCAGCCATGGGGGTGTCCCAAAGGACAAGATGCCAACCCCCCCACTCCCTTCATCCAGCTCCTCTCAATCCTACCCTGTCTCCCTAATAATAGATCATTTACCGTGGACCCTATTTATAGCATTTAAATTGTCACAACAGCCCTGTAAGATAAGCACTATCCCCTCATTTCAGAGCTGGGGCCCAGAGAGGTTAAGCAACTTGGTTAACGTCACACAGCTACTGGGGAACAGGATCCAGGCTGGAAGCTGGGTGGGTCAACTCCAGAGGCCCTGCTTTTAACTACTGGGTTATGGCTTCTCCTATTTGAGGGTTCCTGGAAAAGGGAGCCCTGAGCCTGCATCACAGTATCAGTCATTCATGCATTGGCTGGAGCCAGAGGCAGCAAGGCGAGGGTAGGGGGATAAGGGGGCTTAGAATGGTGGGGGGTGGTCCTTGGGGGTACCAGGGCCCAAAGGGTGTGAGGGGTGTACTGTTACCTTCCACACTGACGAGGAAGATGCGGCTGTCCTGGGACGCATCGCACAGGTACTCCCCAGAGTCCCCTCTCCGTGCCCCCTGCACCCGCAGAACCTGCTTGGCCCCGGCCTGCTCCAGCTGCACCCGCCCCTCACTTGCCAGTCGCTCCCCGTCCTTGTACCAGCGCACAGGGCCCCCTGGCCCGGAGAGGTGTACCATCAGCTCTAGGTCCCCACCTGGGGTGCTTCGAACCCTCGTCTGGGCTGCCTCGGGGGCCACCACCCGCACGGGGGGCTCTGTAGGGTCAGAGCTGGGGGTCACTGAGAGGAAGAGGCTCAAGGGCTGCGAGAAGGGCAGTGGGAGGTGAGGTGCGGAAAGGTAATGAGAGAGCTGGGGCAAGGAATGGGCAAGTTGTGCTAGAAAAGTGCGGAAACCCATAGGTTTTGGGGTGCTACTCTCAGGCTATCTGCCTTGGCTGTACTCACCAGCTATCTGAACGGTGAAGCTGAGGCTTGGGGCCTCTGGGGCTGCCCCAGACTGGCAGGTGTAGATGCCTGCATGGGGGGGCTCTGCAGCCCGGATGCAGAGGATGCGGCGGGGGCCCTCGGCCTGGAGCTCCAAGCCCTTGTCTTCCTGCACCGGCTTCCCGTTGTGGCTCCAGAACACAGGGGCGCCAGCCCGGGACAGTTCACAGCTCAGCACCACTGGCTCCCCGGGGGCCACACACAGAGGGCTGGGCGCTGCCTCTGGGGCAAGGAACTGCACTGGGGGCTCTGGGCCAAGAGAGGAGGGGGTCTGTCAGCCCATGCTTGCCCCTGCCTCCCTGCCCTGAACTGGGCGGGAGTACCCACCGGCCAGGCTGATGTTGAAGGTCACGGCCTCATCACGGGTCTCACACACATACTCCCCGGCATCCTCAGGCTGGGCATGGGGCAGAGTCAGGGTGCGGGCAGGCCCCTCAGCGCCCAGCTGCAGGGCCTCTGATGCCTCCACCTCCAGTCCGTCCTTGTACCAGCGAACCTGGGAACCAGCTGGGGCCACCTCACAGCGCAGCTCCACGCGCCCTGGAGCCCCAAACTGCAGATCCAGGGAGCGGGCTACAGGGTGCACAATCCTCTCTGGTGGGGCTAGCAGGGGGGCAGAGAGAGGGGCACATAGGCTTGGCTAGCAGGCCTCTCCCTGCCTCACCCACCAGCCTTGGCAGCACGGTTCTTGCGATTGGTACCAGCTACAATCCACGGGCACTTGCTGTGTGCCAGGCACCGTGCCAAGCACACTGCAGCTCTTTTCTGTCACTCTGGTCCACTCCCCAGGGGGTGCACAGCTGTCGGATGAGGACCTGTGATCTTTTTAGAGGAAAATGACTTGCCCAAGATCACACAGACAGAAAGAGGTAGATCTAGACTCATCCACACCCCAGATCTATTGGGCCTTAATGCACACCCCATTCTATGCCCGCCCCCAGCTCCTACTGTTCCCTGCTTTATGCCCAAGATCACACAGACAGAAAGAGGTAGATCTAGACTCATCCACACCCCAGATCTATTGAGCCTTAATGCACGCCCCATTCTATGCCCGCCCCCAGCTCCTACTGTTCCCTGCTTTGCCTCCGATGCTCTTACCAACACCTGACGAGCCATCTGTTTTACTCATGCTTTGTCCGCCCTCACTAGAATGTAAGCTCCATGAAGATAGAAGGCTTTGTCTTATTGGTTCACTATCCCCAGCAACTAGAACAGTGCCGAGCACATCGTAGTTGCTCACTAAGTATTTGTTTAAAGAATGATCCTAATTGCTGGGTCCTGGGCTGATTTGGGCAAGCAGGACTCTCTGATGGCTGAGAATGAGGAGGCTGGAAGCTGGGGAGCGAGTAGGGATGGTTGGGGGTCTGTGCCCCAGAGACTGCCCCACCTGTGACAGTGACAGTGAAGAAGGCCGAGTCGTCTCCGGCATCGCACACGAACTCGCCCCCATCCTCAGGCTGGGCAGCGGGCAGCACTAGGCGGCGGCGGGGCCCATCGCTCTCCAGCACCAGGGCCTCGCTCTCTTCCACCTCCAGCCCATCCTTGTACCAGCGCACAGGGGCATCCTCCCGAGACAGCTCACACGTCAGCACCACACACTCCAAGCTCACAGCGATTAAGGTCACCTCATCCTGGGGGTATGTGATCCGCACAGGGGGCTCTGCAGAGTGGGGGCAACCACAGGCTGTCACAAAGTCACTGCCAGCCTCCTTAGAGGCACTGGCAGCATGAAGCTCCTGTCACTCACATGATAATAAGAGGAGCAAATATAATAACAATAATAATAAATAATAGGTCCACAATCTGTTCTCTGAAATCCCTGGGGACAGGGGTGTTACAGAATCCAGAATGCTTTGGATTCCAGAAATGATGCATTTATCATGATCACATACCTCCCTCAGGTCCGACTGGGACACCCCCCAGTCAATCACATTAACATCTCCGCAGTGTCACATATATTATATTCATCCTAAGCAGGATAATTAAAGAGGAGAAATAGCATCACAGCAGTTGAGCTCAGGTTTTACTGAAATGACTGAATACCAAACCTAAAAAGAGCCTTTTGATTTTGAGAGTTGTTTCGGTTTTGGAATTGTGTATAATAAAGGATGATGGCTCTGTAACAGCAAGCATTTACATCCTGCTTCCTAAAGTTCTAGGAACAGTCCTAAGCACTTTGCACATTTAACCTTTGCAGCAATCCTAGGAGCACAGTATTGTTTTATCCCCATTTTCTAGATGATGGAACTGGGGCACAGTAATTAAGCACCTTCTTTACGTTACACCTGGCCACACCTACTCTAGGGCAGGAGGAAGAAACACCATCTGTTAAAGGGAACTCTGCAGGCAGTGGTGGGTATTCCCAGCCAAGGCTTGCAGGAACTCAGTAATGCTGTTTGCACCTGTGCATGAGAGTTGCCAACATCTGTCTGGGTGTTCCCCAGGGATGCTAAACACTGATTCTGGGAGCTCATCTCCAAGTGCTGCTCATTCCTCCACAGAAAGGGAGCCATGTCAACATTGGTGGTGACCAGTGCGGTGAGCCCACTCCCCAACGCCCCGGATTGGTCCCCCAAAATCTTCAAGTCTGCAGGAGACTTTAGTGCTCCTTTAGTGCTTGGCCCCCTTGCGGCTGGGCTGGGGAACTACTAGCTTCCTGGTCTTGGGTTTTGTAGGGGTGCGCATGGGCAGAGGTACCTGTGGGGCACTCTTGCCTTAAGCCCACACAACCCACCCCCCAAAATGAGCTTGCTCTAAGAGTTTGGAAGATACAGGCTGGTTATCTGGGGCCCAGCAAGGCCAGGAGATTGCAGAGTGAGACTGCCTGAGGGGTGAGGGAGGTGACAGGGGTTGTGGGGTGAAGGCAGGGTGTAGCAATGGGACTGGGGTGCCCTGGGACCTCCTTGGTGTCAGACTTGATTCTGTGGCCTAGAGCCGAGGTGGTGTTTGTGTGAACTTCCTGTGAAGAGTCTGGTGTTTTGTAGGGAGCCCAGGGTTGGGCTGAAATTTGTGCAGCTGTGGTCATTATGTCTGGCCAGAGCTGGGTGCAGGAAAGGGTAAAAGTGACTCACTGCAGGACAGCACACATGCAGAAGGCTTCTTCAGCATTGGGGGCTTGTGTGCGCCAGGCTGAGCTATCTGGGGTGCAGGGAGTGCAAGGGCCCTAAGCAGCTCAGCCTGGCTGGGACATTACTCCTAGGGCAGGGCAGGGGGAGGGTGATAGGACTGTGCCAGCAGTAGGATGGTCGTTCCAGTGCAGCCATCAGGGTTCTTCTGTGCCACCCAGAACTGCCTAGGCTCTATGACCCCAACACCCTCACACCCCCATACATACACACTGGGATTGGCGCTGTGAGCTGTAGCCCCCAAGTCTCCGGCACCAAACCGCCACCACTCCCACAGTTGCCCTGTGCTTTTCCCGCCTTGAACATTCTCCCCTCACCTCCTGCCCACCCCACACCCCACTTAGCTTTGTTTATGTTCGTTTCAGCTTTGAAGGCACTTCCTGCCACCCCAACCAGGATGGCAGCGCCCGGCCTTGGGCCCCCTCGGGTGTCCTTTGACAAGCCACATTCTAGTACCCTGCAAGGTGTCTGCCTTTCCTGCCAGGGTGTGCGCTGCGGGAGGGACATGACTGTGTCCATCTGCGTGCTGCTGAATATCCGGAGCCCGGCCCAGGGCTGGCCCATGTGTGGAGTGATGACCTTCTTTGTGGCCCTCCCTGACTCTCCTGCTCTGCTCTCTGCCCTCTTCCCTCACAGCACTTATCACGAGGTGTCACTGGATATTTGCGTGTTTATTGGTTTAACGCAGGGGTCGCAAACTCAAATGCCCACAGGGGCCAGGTAGGTTAGATCAGTGGCTGAAGCAGTCTGGGAGAGGCAAGAAGTAACAGCAAAGAGGGTGGGACAGAGGAATGTGGGCCCCGCATTATGGGGCAGCTGCTACTCAGTGCCAGCTGTTCGTCGCCATGGGGGGAAGCGGGACCAGAGCCGCCGGGTCTTCGGCTTTTTCAAGAGGACGCATAACTCCGGATTGTTATTTGAACTGTCCTGACTTTGGTAAGACTCTGCAGGCCAAACAAAACACATCTGTGGGCTGCCTGGGGCCCGAGGGGCTGCCTGTTTGCGACCCCTGGTTAACAGCGGCCTCCCCAGCTAGACCGGCAGGTCTCGGAGAACAGGGACCGTGTCTGCGTTACTCACCTGTTACTGCCAGCACCCGACTCAGAAAAAGTGCTCAGTAAAGGAGATGGTGGAACAACGCTACTCCTGGTAGGGACTCTGGTACATGCACCCACAGCCCACAGTGCCCTGCTCACCAGTGTGCTAGCTAGGGGATATGTGGCCAGCTCCCCCAGGGCTCAGGACTGTCCTCTGGTGACCCTGGAGAGCTGGGGTGGGCCCACACCTGTGACAGTGACAGTGAAGGAGGCCGACTCCTCGTCGATTTCACACAAGTACTCGCCGGAGTCCTCGAGCTGGACGGCAGGCAGCACCAGGCGGCGGATGGTGTCCTCCTTCTGCAGGAGCAATGCTGGGCTCTCCACCACCTCTTCACCGTCCTTGGTCCAGCGCACCTCGGCCCAGGGCCGGCAGAGCTCACAGGTCAGCACCACACGCTCCAGGCGCACAGCTGCCACGTACACCTTGCCACTAGGGTACACGATCCACGAGGAGACGTCTGGAGGACAGGGACAGTCGCCACTGGCACGAGAGGCTAGGGCCGGTGTGCCCTGCTGCCCTCCCTGATCTGGGCCTGTTCCCTACTCCTGGAACGTCTGCCACATGTTGACGAAGAGGGACCTCCTTTGTACTGTGTCTCATAGCAGCTTAGACAGTTGATGACAGCCAGAGATACACAGTCCCATGAATATGGCCATTGTGGCCAGGGAGACAAAACCACAGTCACCAAATCACATCAGGCTGCACAGTGGGAACCACGGTGTCAGACTCACCTGGAGAAACACTCCACATTTTCTGGGTTGGGACTGGGATAGTAGGAAGGATAGAACTGGGGAGGGGAGGGTTGGGTCCCCAGATGGGACTGGGGTCTCCTGTAGGCCTCTGAGAGCTTTTGACCCCTGTAGTGCCTGGGACCACCTTCCTAGACCCTGTCCTGTGGGAGAACTGCCATTCCCAGGGTCAGGGGGTGTTCAGGAGAATGGAGAAGGCAGAGCTTCCCTGGTGACATGTGTGGTCAACACCACTGTACTTATGACAATGCATTTCCTGAGTGTGACAAGACCATGGGTCGAGGAGAAAGGGAGGATGTCCAATCAGCAATGGAGAGGGTAGCAGGGCCTGGAAATAATGACCCAGAAGTGAGGGTGTGACAGCTGCTCCGGTGGGAGCACAGGGCACCTTCCCGTCCTGCCAGCCCCCCCACCTGTGATGGTGACGGTGAAGTAGGCACGCTCCTCTCCAGCAACACACTGAAATTCACCGCCATCTGGGGGCTGGGCGGCGGGCAGCACCAAGCGGCGATGGGGCCCTTCGTTCTCCAGCACCACGACGTCACTCTCCTCCACTTCCTGCCCGTCCTTGTACCAGCGCACGGGGGCGTCCTCTTGGTCCACCTCACAGGTCAGCATGACGCACTCAGAGGTTATGGCATGTACGAACACGTGCTCCTGGGGGTCCACGATGTGCACTGGGGGATCTGGGTGGGAAGCAGAGATGGGATCACACAGACACCCACACTCGGGAGATGGGAGTCCAAACTGGCTGTGTGACCAGGAGACGCTGTATCCGCACAGGACACTGGGGGACAGTTAAGGCCATGGTGTGTAGGGGGCTCGGAGTTAATGATGTGGGATACTGAGGGCATGACAGTGAGGCATGATAGGAGATCATGTAGCACCTGAGTGCTCAGTGGGACCCCAGAGGACCAGAGGTGGCTGGGTGAGGACATGGAGGGAGGGAGGCGCAGAGTTCATACAGTGGCAGCCACGTTTGTCTAGGCGAAGGGAGGTGACTGTCAAGCCACATCAGGGCCCTGCTTGCTGTTGTTTTTACAAGGAGGCCCCCAGCAGGGGCAGGAGGAGAACAATGACAGTAGCAGGAGTGGCAACAGTGGGACAGCCATCTCCTATGGATAGTGAGCTCCCTGTCACAAGGTGCATTCAGGTGGGGGCCACAGGACCTCCTGGCAATGGTGTTGGAAACAGGATTTCCACTCAGCGTGAGAAGATGAGCAGGACCAGTGGTTCCCAAGATGCCCTCCCAGACAGTTGGCATTTGTTAAGAGAGGATCCCAGGCTCTGCTCTGAATATTCTGGCTCTAGATATTCTCGGGGGCCTGGGCATTTGCACTGATACCAAGCTTCCAGGGTGATCCTGAAGCAGCTTGATCACCGACTGCCTCGTGAAAACCACTGAACCACTGCACTTAACGCTTCTGTTCGACTGTGACCGCCTGGGGCAGCAGGAGCAGCACAGTTCTGCATGTGAATCTGCACTATGACATTTGTTTGCTGTGTGATAACAAGCAGGTGAGTCACATAACCTCTTAGAGCCTCAGTTTCTTCATCTGTGCACTGGAGCTATATTGCCCCTCATTCAGTTGTGAAGATGAAATGAAATGGTGTATATATGAAGTACCTGGCATAGTACTTGGCTCAGAGTAGGTGCCCAATAAACATTAGCCCCCACCTCTCCTTCCCTTAGTGGTATTTTGAGGGTTAAGAAGCAAGTGCACACTGATCTGAAGCATGTCCCCTGGCCTTATAGAAACCCTCCCCTGCAAGCAGGCAGAGCGGGGACAGGACTTGCATGGCCCCGGAATCAGCCTCAGCTGCAGGATTCCAGGCCGGTTCCTGACCTTGGACGGTGACATTGAAGAAGGCTGAGACCCCTTCCGTTCTGCACTCAAACTCGCCACTGTCCTGTACTTTGGCCTCGGGCAGGATCAGGCGGTGTTTGCGTCCATCCATCTTTACCACCAGCGACTCACTCTCCTCCACCTTCTGCCCGTCCTTGTACCAGGTTGCTGGGAAGTCAGCTCTTGAGAGCTCACAGGTCAGCACCACCCGCTCCGAGGTGGTGAAGGTCAACGACACCTTGTCCTGAGGGCTCAGGATGTGCACCGGGCTCTCTGCACAGGGAGAAGCATGATAAGCATTGCTCTTTCCAGAGTGTGTGCTCAGTGTAGGGGTGGATGCATCAGGGACAACTGCTGTCAACGCATTTGTTGGGGTTTTAAAAAATATGTTTGGGTTTACACACCAGCTCTTAGGAACAGTGGTTTTAGTGTGCATAAGAATTCTTAGGGAGCCTGTTAAAAACACAGATTCTCAGACCCCATGCTGGCAAGGACCAGAGAATCCTCATTACAAATTAGCCCTGCAGGTGATTCTGACATGGGCGATCACATTTTGGAATGCTGCTTTGGTTGCTGGTTATTTCTCCCTTTGCCTTCTGCCTGCAATGCTGGCAGCTATTCCACCTCAAGACCCCATGCTTGGGCGCTGTTGGATTTCTAGATTGGTCTTAAAACTCCAGCAATGATGAGATGGCAAACACTAGCATGTTCCTTGAACTTTCAGCCCCCACCCCCAACTGTCCTCCTCAGGGAAGCTTCATTCCCTCTGCTTCCGTTTTTTTTTTGTTTTTTGTTTTTTTTTAAAGATGACCGGTAAGGGGATCCTAACCCTTGACTTGGTGTTGTCAGCACCACGCTCACCCAGTGAGCGAACCGGCCATCCCTATGTGGGATCTGAACCTGTGACCTTGGTGTTATCAGCACCACACTCTCCCGAGTGAGCCACGGGCTGGCCGCTTCCCTGTTTGAACAGGTGGCATAGTGTTTCTGAAGCCAGACTGCCTGGATTCATAATCCAGTGCCACCAAGCATTAGCCTTGTGACTTTGGGCAAGTCAGTTAACCTCTCTGCGCCTCAGTTCACCCTTCTATAAAATGGGGATGACAAAAGAACCTATCTCATAGGGCTGTGGAGAGGATTGTGTTAGGACTGTGCCTGGTATGTAGGATGTTCCTATGATAGTGTTGACAATTAGACAACAGGGCAGGAAGCAGCCAGGGACTAGGGGCCAGGGTCTGCATCTCTCAAATGAGGTGACAAATGTGACAGAATTCTGTAAACCACAAAGTGCTCCAGAGAACTGGGATACGATGCTGATGAAGACAACAAGGGGTGCTCTGTATGTTGCACGTGGGTTGAGATCAGCCTTCTGAACCTCTGAGCCCTCAACCGAGCCCTCCACGGATGCTCCTTACTCTCCTGGCCCGGATGTGAGAAATGGAAACAGCATCCACCTTTTGTTTTGCCAACAGGACTTCCGTGTCTTGACCCTATCTACCCACTCTGGTCCAACCTTGGCCACTGGTACCAACCTTGGATGGTAAGGGCAGCCGAGTCCTGCACGCCAGGGCAGCTGAAGCCAACCAGGGCCCCGCTGTCCTGGTGCCTGACGGCTTGCAGGATGAGTCTGTGCTGCAGGCCCTTCTGCTCCATGCGGTACCGCAGGGCCCAAGGCTCCACCTGGCCCTCTGGCTCGTTACTCTTGAGCTCTTCCCCATTAAGGAACCAGGTGCCCTGGATGATAGTGGAGAGATCCAGGGAGAAGACAGCGTCTTCCCCGTCGTATACCTGCACATCCTCCAGACCTGCCACCAGGCGAGCTGTGGGCACTGAGGCAGGGACAGAGTGCAGCCGTCAGAACCAAAAGGGGTAGCAGAGGGCAGAGACTGGCAGGTGGAAGGCATATAAGAGGACAGGGGCTGAGGGTCAGGGAAGGGAGGAGAGGTGATGGGAAGGCTGCTGACGGGCAGGCTCTGGCAGGACCAACTCACCCAGGTGAGCAGAACCGTGGAACACAACGTGGGGACTGCGGCCGTGTTCGGTTACAGTGCAGACGCGGAAGCGGTAGTCACCCTCGGAGGGCACACAGTCCCCTGGCACCTCCACGGCTCCAGCTTTCTCAATGCTGAAGCACTGGATCCAGTCTTCGGAGCCCACCTCCTGCCGCTCCAGCCGGTAGATGAAGGGGGTCTCAGGAGCTGGCTCGGGAGGCTTCCAGGTCAGCAGGACTGTGTTCTTGTGGCCCTTAAACATCTCTGCCAAAACGGGGGGCCCGGGGGGATTGTGCTTGACACCTGAGAAAAGGCAAGGTTTGCATCTGAGCCCTGCTCAGGCCTCCCACAGGCCTTCCACCTAAATCTACTTTGTCAACCCAGGCTCTGGCTTCTGGTCACCCTCCTGCCCTGGCCCTCCAGTCCAGAAGCCCTCACGTCCTCACATTTGACTCTGAGCAGAGTGGTGGTACGGGAATTGCCCAGCCTAAAGGTGACCTCGCCAGCATCTTCTCGGGTGACCCCCGGAAGGACCAGGGCATGCATGTGGCCCGAGCTGCTCTGGCAGGTGTCCGGCAGCTCCTCCCCATCACGGCTCCAGCACCCCTCAACGGCAGCTTCTCGTGTCTCCACCAGCAGCACCGCGTTCTCTCCCTCCAGGACGTCGAGCTTCCGGGGCAGCCGCTTCAGGATGGGCCCTGAGATGCAGATGGGAACCCATCAGCCCGGGGTCTGAGCATCTGCCTGCCTCAGCCTCAGCCTCCTCCCGCTGGCCAGCAGACCTTTGACCGTCACATTGGCCACAGTGCGAACCCGGCCCCTCATCTCGCACAGGTAGACGCCGTCATCGTCCGCCTTCAGCCTGTGGATGATGAGGCGCCGGACAGCGCCCTCTTCGATCTGCTCATACTTGCGGCAGGGCAGCAGCCGCTGGTCCTCACGGAACCAGGCCGTGGGGATGCGGGAGTTGGGTACTTTACACTCCAGCACGGCGATGCCATGCTCCCGGCCCTCCACGTCCTGCAGAGGCCTTGTGAACCGGAGGCGGGGCTCTGCAAAGAGGGGAGAGTTGAGAAGGCTCTGGAGAGGGGCCGGACCAGGAGGAGGACTCCTAAACACACATTAGCTTGTGCCGTTTGCTCTTTTCCCAGAGCCAGCAGGCACTGTGGAATCACAGAAAAACCACCGGAAAGAAAGTGGATGGCCTAAATTCTCTGACCCTAACACTAGCCACATCACCTTGATCAAGCCCACTTTAATGTTCCTGTACCCCAGCTTCCTATTTGCAAAATGGAGAAAGGGAGGGGAGGGGTTAGATCAAATAGGTAATTTTCATATTCCTCCCTGGGGCCCTTCAGAGGCACCTTACAAATTCTGCAGGGGTCTTGAGTTGAATTTCAAGCATTTTAACCATTTTTAAAACTGTATTTCAAAAAAAGAACACACAGTGTTGGAAACGACCAGAGGGTTAACTTGGGTTGCTGGAGAAGCAAGTTTCTTGGGCAGCTCTGGGAAGCTCCTCTGGTCTGCCTGCTGGGCTTTTCTTTCCTGGTGTAGTTCCAGGTCAGCACTAGCCTGGTGAGTCTGTACACATCAACCTGTACCACTGAGGCCACCACTAACGCCCAGGTGCCACACGCTTGGTTTCGTGCCAGCAGGACTTGGGAGAATTTGCCAATTTTCTTTCCTCCTAGGGAAAAAGTTGGGCAATAACTAGTGAAGGTGTGCTCCAGAGTCGTGATGCAGCCCTATTATGGAGAGCTTTAACTTCAGTGTGAGTTTGGCGTGTGTTTTTTTCCTCCATTTGCCAATTTTCTTTCCTCCTAGGGAAAAAGTTGGGCAATAACTAGTGAAGGTGTGCTCCTGAGTCGTGATGCAGCCCTATTATGGAGAGCTTTAACTTCAGTGTGAGTTTGGCGTGTGTTTTTTTCCTCCGAATTTTCTGTTTATGAGTAATGTAAGCATTTATTAGATATTTTTGGTATTTTAAGCATACCAAATTACTTAACAGATTTTAAGCATTTATTAGATATTCAACTTTGTAATATAAATTTACACTCCTTTACTTTCCTCTTCTTTCAAACCTGGGTAGCAGTTTAATAAAAGAATAGTCAAAATTTGCAGGACGTTTTTCCTCCCTCAAGTCTACCTTTCCTGTGAATCTGTTGTTTCTCAATGTGATCCCTGCAGCAGGGCCTTCCCCATGGGTTTCAGAGACTAGACCTGGCTATGAATGCAGCCTCCACTTCAAATGTGTGTATTCAATAAAATAGCCCCCTTGTTCTCCCTGATTAGCTTTATAAGTTATAAATTTAGAGTTAGTAATTCACACCCATAAAATGCTCCTTTTATGTGTCTCATACATTGGTGCTGCAGATGCGAATTCAGTTAGGGAAGGAGTAAGATAACAAAGAGGTTGAACACCACTGGACGGGAAGAGTTGCAGGGCCCTCAAGGTTAGAACATTCCTTAGTGGATTTCCACCATCTGCCTCAGAATCGCTTGGGGAGTTTGCTAAGAAGTTCCTGGGTACTCTGGAGACCTACTAAATCCGGATTCCTGGGGGGTGGGGGGTGGGTGGGGGCCTGCGGGCAGGAAATGGTGTTTTAGTACTCCCGGGACCCCTCCCCTCTCCCCAGTCTTCTGGGCAGCGCCGGGCACCCAGGGGTGCCGAAGCGAGGAGGGCTTCGCGGGCGC